TTCGCGATAGGGGTGCCGGAGAATTAATTCGTCCCTTTTACGCAAGAAAATCGAGCAAACGGACGATCAAATTTTCTGTTACGTCTAGCAATTTTCACGCTCCGGTTTGCCATCCGTAACACGCTCTTCACGATTGACCCTCGTCGATGGTCGAAACCAAAGGAAGTTCTCGAATGGAGCAGCTGAATGTAACGAAACTTCGCATATACCTTTCGAATAATACGAACTTTGAAAGGAACACACGTCTTACAATTTTTTCTCTTGAAATTTAAAGAAAAAAAAACATAGAAATTATAGAAATATTTCTATTACAAGGTAAGATGACGCATAAAATAAAGTTGTTACTTTATTAACATGATTCGATGCATATTCGTATTTCAATTTTAAATAGAAGGTTTTAATATGATTTTTCCAGTATTATCAAACGTTCTTTTAGTTGTAATACGTATAGTGGTTAATACGACTATAAAAAAGATCGGATAAACATGTAGAACAACAGAGCCACCGTCGATTTCAATGGCCTTGAAATATGTTGTCATTCCGATCCTGTTGTACACCTACGGATGCAATGGATCGAAATATTTCTGTCACATGCTTTTCTTCGATGTTTCCGCTACTGATAATGGCCACAACAACGGTCACCCCTTGTGTTGCAAGCATTTTCAGTTGGTTCGATCGTTGTTCCCCGAAAAATAAGCGAACTCTTTTATCGAACGATTCACGAACGATGCGCGAGAGGATTCGTAAACTATAGCGAATGCTGCTTGTTATCTATATCTATTGCTCGTTAGCGTTTCTTCGCTACGTGTAATTGTCCGACGGAATAAAAGCGATCGTTTGTCAAGCAACGGGGTCACCGCAATATCGTTCCTCCGAGATATGCGAGTACAAGATGGATCGATGTGTCTGTCGTTAGTTTTCCCTTCGCTTCATCGATGTTTCTTATATTCGTGGACATTTCAGTACCATAATCATAAACGTGTTTCGCAAGAAATAGCAGAGTATCGTATTTATTAAGAATTTCTGATTAATTGTGATAATTTGACGTTTGTTATACTTTTGTATAGATGATGTATCTATAAAGATAAGTTTCGGTGTGATCGTTTCTTTTAACATTACATTCTATTTCTTTGTCATCTTATAACTTTTAATACGATTTCTCATACAATATTTCATATCAATATTTTTATATACCATATCGATCGATTGTGACTAATTAGATACTTATTCCGAGTATTAAATAACGATATTATATTTTATTTATACGTTTCGTTAATTTCAACTTTTAAAAAGGCTTTCGTCACGTCGTATAATCCATCGTTTAAAGGGCTACTTTAATATAACTACGAATTTTTTAACATATTTCACAGACAAAGTTTTTCAATTGTATCATTTGTATCAGATACTTGGGCAGATACTGTGTCGTGACCAGATACTTCCGTGATCAAACCTATTCATTTTATTTAACCACTCTACCTTCGAATACTTGTTCCATTTCGAATTAAAGCGAACTCAATTTACCTGAGACAATTCCCCCAGGTTGGTTCTTTCCCGACATCGTTTCCCCTCGCGAAAATAAAGCAAAGACATCATCGCGCCATTCACTTCGCCCAGTCGTTAGACGTTAGTCGTTAGGAAACGCCCGAGTCCATTCGGAATCAACGGATCGAGATCATTAAAACGAACCCTCCAAGTGTCAGCCGCACTGGCGTATATACTGTACGCTTCCGCGAGCTACCGTTTTCGCGCTCGACAACGTGACTTTAAATAATCGCGATGAAATTTCATATTTATACGAAGCCGCTAATTACGATTCGTGCCGCGTAAAAACGATCCCCCTCATCATACCTGAAACAATTAATTACGTGTATGGCCTTGAACGAAGAGGATAGGCGAGAATTTGCACGTTTGCCCGTTTTTGCACTCGTTGCTATGCGGTAACTCGCGAAAATATTTCAACACTTGCAGAAACCGCCTATAAATACAGGGTGGTTGGTGCAGGGTGGTTGGTAACGGGTGGTACAAGCGGAAAGGGGATGATTCTACGCGAAAAAATAAATCGAAAATATAGAATAAAAATTTTTCGTTCGAGGCTCTGTTTTCGAGAAAATCGACTTTAAATTTTCGCTCGGTACGCCTGCACTTTATCGCGTCTCGTTATAACGGATCGTTGTCTCGATGGAAGAATTTAAAAAAAAATAAAAAAAATTTTTTCTATATTTTCGACCTCTCTAGAATCACCCCCTTTCCGCTTGTACCAGCAGTTACCAACCACCCTGTATATTATACGCGTTATTATCGTAAACTCGATTATCGTAATTATGTCGGCAAAGATTCGAGCAAATCGAGAAATGTACGTATATTCTCATGCGCAAATATTAGCACGCTTATAGAAACACGAAAGAAAATCCGATAAACCATTGGAGAATTATTTAACTTCGATTGGATTCAAAGGGAAAGCTTCGACTTACAGCTACATCGTTATAATGAAAATCTCGCCAATTATATTGGCTTGGCAATACATACCAAGCCAATACAGACGACGAACGTCAAACGTTTTCTTTCTTTATAATCAGCCTGGCTTCGATTTGGATGAAACTCTGTACGCTTAAGGAACAGCTAAAAATATATTCCTTTTCTAGCTGCGATAACTCAAGTGTAAGAGGAATCATCCTCCAAAATTTGACACGTTAAGAACTAAGTCAGGATTGGTTACCGATAGAAAATAATTCCACAAAAATGAAATACTTTTTAGTACGTAGGAAAAAGTGCTACTAACTGCAGTCAATGAACAGGTTTCAAAAAGTATATAAAAGAATTTCGTCGAGCATGTTCATTCGAAAAAGTACAACGAGCCAATGTACGTTAAGTCGTTCCGTTCTCTGTGCTTCCTCTCCTTCTCTCTGATTTCGGTTCCTTTTTTTTTTTTGCTTTCTATTTTTTCTTTTTTTTATCTTGCCCTCCCTTCACCATATTTGTCGGCCGTCGAATTCCACGCCGCACCGGTGGAAACGAACGCAGAACAATATTTC